AGAACAATATTTGCATAAATTGCTTGTAAAAGAAGCAGCAAGGTGGGGTTTAATTCCACTTAATGTGGAGGTGAAAGAGCCTGCAATTACCTCCCTAGCTTCCAGTTGAAAAAGTATATACGGTAGCAACTTGGGGGGGGTTTAAGTCCTGTTTTACAAACTCTGTGCTAAGTTTCGCTGAAAGTTGATCATGTTTATAGTGTAGGATGTGACTCCTGGTTCAGATTCTGTAAAACTTTATTTTCTTTAGAATTCCAAAAGTTCAGGCTTTAACTAGCAGTTCTAATTCCAGGATTACTGTCAGGCTAATATTTTCCTTATGTTGATTATTTATGATAAATTCATAATTCCTTCAGGTTTAATTGATTTTGTAAGCCCCTTAAAATATTTTTTACCAGTCCTTTATTTGTGCACTTGTTGCAATCTTAGAGTTTTTTTCTGTAAACCCTGTATTCAAAACTCATGCATTAAGTGCAACAAAACTCTCTCCCGAATTTGTGCGAGACCTACATATATTTCTTGATATGGACACACGGTACTGGGGCCACTGTGCAAATAAGAACCAGATTTTTGATTACGTCAGCGCTTTCAGACTTGAGGAGAGTTAAATGTGATGATGATAATTCACTTTTTCGTAGACTGAGGGCAGGGAACAAAGTGTAACTGTACAAGCTAAGTGATGTCCTGCAGTTTTAGAGCTTGCTTTTCCCTCCCTGTCTCCTCCTTCGTGCCCAGTGGGTACGGATCTGTGGGCAGGAGCAGGCAGAAACCCGTGGGTGGTGGTGAGGGTGGGAGGCTCCTGATTGCGCTAGTGCCCGGTTCGAAAGCTCGGAAATGTCAGTCCCCTGTGGGTTAAGCTGCTGGCTGAGGAGCGTGAGTTTCCTCGGTCTCAGTTTGACGCTGGTGTGTCGCTGCAAGGTGTTCAAATTGCGATGGCTGTTGTCTTTATGACTGGAAGCGTGGAGGGAGGAGGGGGAAATTCCGCGTGGAGTCGGGGTGCTGGGGGTGAGGGGCTGTGTCTGCAGAAAGCGTCCCAGCGGATTCCTCGGGGGTGCCACATGCACAGCTGCGAGAGAGCGGCGTAAGTTAAGGAGCTTCCAGAGCGTGCTGCAGCCAAAAGAAACAACAGAGGGTGCAAGCCTCTAATTTTATGCTGACATTTAACAAAAAATAAACCGTATTCTGCATTGCGTCATTCCTCTCTGTTAAACGCTCTGGAAAGCTCACCCGGGCAGTACCAGCACGCCGACACGGAGTGTGCGCGGCGCAGCGACACGGCGGCTTGATTCCGGCTGAAAGCGAGCTCCAGAGCTTACGCTTGGGTTTCTCAGACCTTTCAAGTTGACCGTGTAACTGGTTCCCTGGCAAGCGGGCGGTTAGAAAAAGCGAGCCAGCTGATGTCGCAATCTCGGCGCTGGCCCTGGAGTGGAAAGACTCTGCGCTGGCATGCTGCTGCTGCTATTTTTACCCGCTGCAGTAAGAGCTGCCCTTGCACAGTACCTGGAATTATTGTGTTTCGCCCAAGTGCTGTATGCTCTGCAGAAAGTTTTCAGTAAGATTGTCGGGCGGATCCACACTGGAATTGTCTTGCATTAGAAAATATTTCTTACTCTGTCACCACGTGTAATGCCGTCTCTGTAACTGAGGGATTTTTTTACTTTTGTTTGCATAATTTGTGTCTGGCAGAGGGTTTTTTTTCCTTTTAATTTTGGTTTCCTTTGTATATTGAGTGTTTTGTTTTTCTCAGTTTCTCATGTGGAAATGAGAATCCAGTGTAGTGCAGGAATAAATGTGGTAGGCTTTTGTCCTAACTTCTAAAAAGCTTAGCTGGTTTTGCTTACATTTTAAGTTGGATCCTTCACACAATCGAAAATGAATTTACTGTCAAATAGATTTTCGGCACTGCCAGCGGCAAAGTGCTCCGTGTGCCAAGCTGATTGTAGCAACAGCTGGAGGAAGCAGCAAGGGAGCTGTGACGGTGTCACGCCGGGGTTCCTGTGCAGAAGTGTTGCGTACAGAGGGTCACGTATGCCGAGGTCTGGCCCTGGGAATCGCAGCGCTGCAAGGGCCAGCTTTGTGAGTGCCTGTTCTTAAATACAACCTCGGCCGGCTCTATTTTCTAAGACTGGCATCATCTGGTTCAAAAGAGACTTGACAACACTGGGACACAGACCTCTTGTTTGCAAGCTCTCCTCCTGGCTCCTTGTGCCGTCAGGTGGGTGTTCATAGCGGAATTTTGAATTTTTCCCAAAGCGTTGTTTGGCCCTGAAGGATGATGGGTGACCGGCTCGTGCGATTGAGCGTTGCCCTTGGGGAACACCTGCTTCCCCTGCTCCTTCCGTGCGCTGTGGAGTATCTCAGGTGGAAGTCCTGCAAGCAGACAAACTTCTTCCAGCACAGGGTTGTTTTCTTCTCCCTTGGTTTGGCATCGTCTTGAGTGAAAAACTCTGCTCAGGTTTAATTGAATCTCACATCGGCAATAACAGCTGGTATTTCTATCAACTCTTTCGCTTCTTAAACCCTCCTTGTTGCCTGTTCTGTTGGCAGATGTTCTTACTGATTTTTGGTTTTCACATGTCTCTTACCTATCGAGAAAAATACGTAATTTTCACTCCCTCACAATTATTACTTTGGTTGCAGGTAGAAATACTGTACCTGCTGCTGCTTTAAACCATCACTCTTGCTTGTCCTATGTGGTATTTTCTTGATTTGTTTGAGATTCCCTTTTCTTCTAGCTAGTTCAACAATAAAATTGCTTTGAGTTTTCAGTCTATGAAGCTTCTCCCTCTCCCCATCAATTTTCTCTCCTCTTTTTCAGCTAACATTATCCGTTACCCTGACTAGGTGAATTTTCTGGAAGTTTACCCAGAGTTTTTCCAGCTCTTGTTTTCCTCAGGGACTGGTCTTTATGCATCCTTCAACCTCTTAACTAAATGAGAGGATTATAACTGTACCCTTTCTTTAAAATCGGTTCGCTAATTGTCAGCCCAGATGCTTCTAAAGAACAAAACTCTGATGCTGCCCCCGCTAAGCCCCTGGATTGGGTCCTGTGAAATGTCTTCCTCTGGCCTTCTGCTTGTTCTGATGGTGGTTTTGATCTTTCCTGTTTTTCTCTGCTTCTGGCCCCCATGTACTTTTTGTTCACATCACTTTCCACACCTCATTTTTAATATGCAAGCTGTGAAAAAATAATCAAATAAATGATACCTCCTCCCTGCCCGATTCAGTGTGGGTTATTTCCTAAATGTTGCTGACTGGTTGTTTTCTATCAGAACTGAATATCTCTTTTTTTCTTCCGGTTCGTTAAAGACAGAATTCCTTTCTTCATTCTCCCCAGTCTCCCTGCTTATCTTTTTTCCATGATGGAAACCATATTCATAATATTTTGTGTATCACATTCCTACGTGGTTTGAGGTAGAGAGGCACACAAGTGAGTGAGCAGGGTAAATGTCCCTTTCAGACTGTTGAATTTTAAAATTACTGAGTGGCTCAAGGTGGAGACCCCAAAGCCTTCCTCTGGTTCTGTGATAGTCTTTGGGAGTGTGCTGTCTTGGCCAAAATTGTCACAGCTTTTTTTTTCCTCCACCGACCTGCTTTGTCCAGGAGAGAGGACGCTTCTAGCTAGAAATGAGCTGGTAGTAGAGGAGCTCTTTGTGGATTTTTGTGTGTAATTGTGTGTCACATAAAGAACGAAGCAAGGGAGCTGGGACTGATCAGCCTGGAGAAGAAGCTTTGGGGGGATCCTGTTGGTGTGTGTAAATACACCGATGTGAGGGCATAGAGAGGACACCAGACTTTTCTAACTGGTGCCTGGTGGCAGCACAAGGGGCAGCAAGCATGAATTAAAACATGTGATGCCACCTGAACGTGAGAAAACGCTTTTTTTTATTCTGGGGGTGGCTGAGCGCAGGAACAGGTTGCACGAGAGGCTGTGAAATGCCCAAAGCCCAAGCGCGGTGGGGCAGGGCTGCGGCTGCCCCAGCTAGAGCAGGGAGGTTGGGATAACTGGTCTCCGGAGATCCGTAGAATCATGCAATGGTTCGGGTTGGAAGGCACCTCAGAGATCATCTCGTTCCACCTGCCTTGTGAGCCCAACTCTCTCAGCCCGTCCTCAGAGAGATGCTGCAGCCCTAAAGTGAGTGATCTCCAGAGGTCCCTTCCAACCTCAATGACTCCAGGACCACGCTGCGCTCTTCAGCGTCCCTAATCATCTGTGCACGGACTTGGTTTAGGAATTGCTCATTAGGATGGGAACCTGGAGTAAGAAAGCATTTTACCATTTACTGCTTAGTGAATATTTTTGAATATTGAACGTAGACTTCTTTCTTCAGCTAGCCTGGGCTTCCAGGCTTTTAATCAAGAGTTCTTCAGCTTCCCCTGGAATTCTTCCTCTTGCAGTTACAGCTCTCCAGGCTGAACGAGCCCAACTCTCTCAGCCCGTCCTCAGAGAGGTGCTGCAGCCCTAAAGTGAGTCCAGAGGTCCCTTCCAACCTCAGTGACTCCGTGACCGCGCTGCGCTCGTCACCTTCCCTAATAATCTGTGCACGGACTTGGTTTAGGAAGTTTTACTTAAGTGATTATTGGATCCGCGGCTTGTCATAGCATTTGTGAGTCACCAGGGTGTTTCTGTGGATAAGTGAGGAACTGGTGTGTGAGAAGGAAGTATTCAACTTGGACTGAAGTTTTACTTCAGTGATTATTTTTTTTTTAGCTCTGGAAGACTTTTATAGTGTTCTTAAATAAGAATGAGATTATCTTGAGCTGGGGTAGCATTGGGCTGTTGTGCAGCCTGGCCTTACGCTGTGTGTCTCTTTACAGTGAAATCGTGTGTAAAAGAGTGAAAGGCTGCAAGACCCTGAAAACCCTTCAGCAGCAGAAGGGTGATAAGTTAACTGTGCTATCGATGTGATTCAAAAAAGAAGTTGTTGGCCATTAATTTGGTATGTTGTGCATGTCTGTCTAGTAAAATTGTAAATATCTTCTTTTTTTGTGTTGCCTTCCACAGATGATGTACTTCATCCTTTTGTCGTAGGACTTCATTCGCTTAAAGGAAAACTAAAGGTATAAAGAACTTTCTCTGGTTTTCTTTCTCCTTACCCTGCCCCATCTTTTCTTCTGAGGTCCATGGGCCTTAACTGGGGGAAGGCAGTGGTACCCCAACCCAGCTCTGTGCTCGTGTTCCTTCCCTGCTCCAGAAATGTGCTTTTTGTTTTTGGAGAAGTTCCACAAAATTGATACCTGCAGTTGTTTCAGTGTTTGCTTTAGCAGAAGCGTGTGTTTAACGTGAGCTCTTACTTTAGTCCCTCTCTGTGGATATTTACTTTCCAGGGGGAAAGCCCTTCTTCGGTTTAGAACTTTAGATCTTGATATTTGCCTGTCTTCTCCAAACAGTGTTTGCCCTTCCCCACAACTGCGGATCTGTTGGGAATAATCCAGACCTAATGTAAATCTTGTCTGTGATACTATCTTGCAACTGGTGGTCTTTTTTCTGTTCTGAGATCGTACTTCTGAAACAGAAAGTCTGTTGCAGCACTTTGTTAAATAAATAAAAATCCACCCAAACGAGAACTGTAATTTCATGGCTGTATTTAGTTAAGATAACATAAGATAGAGTTAAAATGGAGCATAATTCCTTTTTGGAGGCACTCAGGACAGTAAATGTTTGACATAACTTTCTTGTGTGCAGTCTGTAATTTTTAATTGCATTCAGTTTTTGTTTGGCATTTTACACAGGCTTCTTTGCAAATACAGATGCATAGGAAATAATAAAGTTAGTAGAGCTATCCAGCCAGTTTGGAGCTAAAACACTCGAGTAGCATCATGTTAGATTTAGTTCCTATTGCAGAAACACGTGTTCAACTATTCCCAGGTGCGTATTATTACGAGGGAGAATCATTTGTTCTGTCTTCTCACCGAAAAATGTCTCGAGCCCCCTTCCAAACTTTTTTTGGTGCTCACGGCCCAGAGGCCAGTCGCACCGTGGGCTGTGTGGGAAGCAGCGTGGCCGGCAGGGCAAGGGAGGGGATTCTGCCGCTCTGCTCTTGGAGTGCTGCACCCAGCTCTGGAGCCCTCAGCGCAAGAAGGCCGTGGAGCTGTTGGAGCGGGCCCGCAGGAGGCCACACGGATGAGCAGAGGGCTGCAGCACCTCTCCTGCTTGGACAAGCTGGGAGGGCTGGGGCTGCTCAGCCTGGAGAAGAAAAGGCTCCGGGGAGAGCTCCCAGAGGCCTGCCAGGGCCTGCAGGGAGGCTGGGGAGGGGCTGTTCACGAGAGTGTGTAGTGACAGGGTGAGGGGCGATGGTTTTAACACCAGAGCAGGGTAGATTTAAATTAGATGTTAGAAGAAATTTCTCTACTCTGAGGGTGGTGAGACCCTGGCCCAGGTTGCCCGGAGAGGTGCTGGAGGCTCCATCCCTGGAGGAATCCCAGGCCAGGCTGGACGGGCTCTGAGCAGCCGGACCCGGTGAAAGCTGTCCCTGCTCACCGCAGGGCAATGGGGCTCGATGACCTTTAAAGGTCCCTTCCAGCCCAACGTGTTCTGTGGTTCTGCATATCTCTTGCCCTGTCCCTGCCCATCTGTACGTTGTTTCCCTGTCCAGGCTCTTAGAACTGCAGTGTGACCTCCCGGTGGCACTGCTGGTTCTAGCACCTAGACTGCATGTAATAAACCAAATTTGTTAATTTAAAGCTGCCCTGAGTGAACGCAGAGAACGCCAGACTCTGGAACTAGCGGGCTGTGTTCTTGGTGGCAGTGTCCCCAGCATTACCTCCTTTGTTATGTGCAACCAGAGGAGGAGGGAGCCAGTAATTCCTTGTGGTGAGATTATCAGTCACTTCTGTTTAATCCTTGAGAACTTGTGTGGGCAGGGCATGTGGTGGGCTGCTGGCACTGGAGTAACTCTGTCGTCCTTGCTGTAAAGTGGACGAGTTCCAGGCAACAGTAAACACAGTTTGGGGCTTTCATGCATGCTTGAAACAACTCAGGCATGAGCAGGTTCAGGATGCAAAGAGGCACTTCTCTGAGAAAGAACGTGACGTTGAGTGAAAGACTCAGGGGTGAAAAAAACGCTTATCCCGAGTGTCTTGTCTGTGTGATGCCAATGCACGTGTGAACTTGGAGCTTTACACATCTACCTTTCTCAGGCTTTCTTCAAACGATTCTGCTGTGACAAAGTTAATGTTGCGGTAAAGAGACAAGTCTGAGGTGTGACAGGCGGGTCACGTAAGTGATTCTGATCCAGGCAGATCCAAGAAAGCAACGCTCAGTATGGGTTTTTTTCTGGTGACACATTTATATTTACCAAATTAAAAAATGAGAATGTCTTAAGTATCGCTTAAGCTTTAATGGTCTTCATAGTGTTGAAAGAACACTTTTAAAACATTGAGTGACCGCCTCAATATTTATCAAATTTGTTTAAAAATTAAAGATTACTATAATTTAAAAAGTGGAGCCTTTACTCCATGACATAAAGTTCTGGCGCTTTATTAGCAAAACTTGTAAAAAAAAGGTCTGTGCAAAATGTATGTACTTCCTTTGCTTGCTTTTCCTTTCATAGCTATTTTAATAGCAATTCTGCGACCTTTTTTGTGAATCCATAGAAACTCGACGGCAGTACTTAATTAAAATTGTAAAAAGTTTCTGAAAAAATCTACTGCATTTTTCTTTGTGCCTAGGATTGCTTTTTGGCTTTTGGATTCTATCCCTTTGCCCTCTTCTAGATAGGAGCAGAGCGTTCGGTCCTCCCGTTTCTCCGCTGAAGGAATTTGGGTTTTGCGGGGAAATGTGTAGAGCTCTGCATTTCAACCTGATGGAAATCTGATGCGGAAAGAAATGAGTGACTGACACAGGAATGATCCGCGTCGAACAGGACAAACCAAACAGATCCTAAAATGGGGCAGGATAAGTACCCTGGAGCCGTTCTCGTCGACGGAGAGTGGGCATAGTGCGGCCAAGGGTGTGGGTGCTTTGGGTGACAAATATTTACTGACGGGAGCCCAAGGCACACAGTGCAGCCGAGCAGTAGGACTTGGTTTGTGCTTACCAACTCCAGTTCTGCTCTGACAGGCAAGCTGAGACAGAAGAAGGGGGTGGTCGTGCAGAGGTTTGATCAGCAGGTCTGCCCAAGAGCTGTGGTGCTTCTGCCCTCCTTTCTGTGGAGCCCAGGTGCTGGAAAAGCAATGTTATTTTTTTCCTTCAATGCTTCAAGGTGGCGTTAGCAGCGCTGTGGCTGAAGGAGGGGCTGAGAAATGGACGGGTCAGAGAAACAGCAGGAGATGTGAAAAGATACTTCCACCGTCGGAACAACTGTCGTCTTTCAGTGGGTTTTTTTGGTTTAGTTTGGTTTTTGTTTTTCCCTCAATTACACTTCCTCCTCTTTATTTTTTTTCTGTCAGTTCTGTTGGGGAGGAGATTGCTTTTTGGCAAAAATTGAAGGACATCCAAAGGCAACATGCCAGCCCTGTCGATGTATGAGATCTGCTTGGGTTGTTAGTCTGATCCGACCTCGTGTTTACATGGATCACAGCTTTATTTCTTAATGTGGGCATGGATTCACGTCTATCTTCTACTGCTACAAAAAGTCACTTTAAAAAATACTAATATGTAGCACAATAGATACTTCTTTGGTGGGTTTCTTTTTTTTCGCACCTTGGACAACTGGTAACTTGAGCGATATTGAATCAGTGGAATTGCTGTAGGAGAGGGGAACTGAGAAGAGGCCCCAGTTAAGTGTGTTACTGATATTTTTGTGTCCAAGGTGGAAACTGTTCTTCTGAGCAACTTCTAAAGCTCATGTTTTCTAACAGAAGTGTTCTGGGGTGGATTCTCGGTTTTGCTCTGTGCTGGTTTGCCTGTCTATGTGTGCTGAATTGTTTGTGTGGATAAGGATGGCAGTGTTGGGAGGGGAATTGTATTGACATTTTCTTTAAAGGCTATTAGTGTTTGTTTCAGAAATAAAGGAAAGGGCAAGGCAGCTAAGCTCTGTATGGAGAGGAGTTCAGCTGTGCCCTGGGAACGTTCAGACGCCTTCATTACCAGTTTCACCGTTCCTTCGGGAGACGGACTGAAATCTCCAACAGTTGAGACGCTTTTTCCTGGCTATGGAAAAAGCTCAAATAGCTCAGAGCGTCTTTTGGGTCTGAACGAACGATGGCAGTGTGTGATCTGACGAGACACGAGTGAGTGAATGATCTCTGGGAATTCAGTGCTGTCACACATGCACGGTGTGTAGCCGTAGCGGGCGTGTGGCTTTAAGGCTCGTTCAAATGGCTGATTGTAAAGCTCTGTGCTGCGTGCACAAAGTGCGGTGTCGGTCAGGGTGTGCGGTGTGCCTGCGGGAGGTTGGAAGTAAAGCGCGAGGGTTTCCTTCTGCTCGGATGGCATGTTTAGTATGAAACAAATCAGTTTCCTGCAATACTGGATCTATGAGGGGTTGGACACCTCGTCATTTAATATCTTAAAATACTCTTCGAGTGCCGCCGTTGCAGCTTTTCAGTTGTGGACAAGCTGTCCGAGGTAATTTTCATAAAAGCGAAGAGTTGCAGGGAGAAAAACTGTAAAGAAAAAATTTCAGAAAGATCCATGAAAACATTCAACTGGCTGTGGATTGTTTGGACGTAGTGTAAACATAAATCTGCTATCTGGTAATGATTATGTCTCAGAAACCTACTTGTCACGCAACAATGACAACACCGAGGTCACAGGTTCGATTCCCGCTCGGTCCCCATGTGTTGCCTGATCTAGTCGAGAGGTGTCCCTGCCCATGACAGGGATGTTGGACTAAATGATCTCTGAGGTCCCTTCCAGCCTGGGCCATTCTAGGATTCTGTGATTTAAAGGAAGCTGGTTTTTCTGGAATAGACAAAGTACAAATTACATACTTAGGAAGGCATCATTGTCAAGTCTTTCCTCCTTTAAGTGGAATTCCTCTTTAGAACGTATGAGACATCATTTTACTGGGCTAAGCTGGTGTGGATCGGGGGAGAGTTGGAGAAGATGACTTTAGTTTCAGTAAAAACTGGCTTCCATCAGTTACTGACTGGAGCAAAAGAGCCGAAATGAAGAAGCAAGTGAGCGCTGGGGCAGAGGTGAGGGGCTGCTGGAGGGAGAGCTCTGCTGGCACGTCTCACCTGCTCACGGGGGCAAGAGGCGCCGGCATGCACCGTGGCTGCTGCTCTTGGCTCGGCTCTGTGCTCAGGGACTGACCCGAAATCGTGCGTGTGTGCACAGTGATCTACTGTGGGATTCTGTACGTTGTTGGATTTTTCTTTGTGTCGGTTCAAAGCTGGTCAAGTAGTTGCCCTGTTAATTCTCTGCCCTTGGATGTATGTGTTCAGTGAGCTGATGGAGTTCAAAGTGGATGTTTTTAAGATGACTTTCTACACTAGAGGGCAGGGGAAACGTGCAACTCAGTTCCTTCTCAAGAAGCAGCTTTTATGCCACTCTCTGTGCTTCCAGGGTGGTAATTTGGAGTAAGAACAATGACAAGGCCTGAGAAGTGACTGTGTCTCGTGGCTGCCCACACGGTATCAGAACTGAAGTGTTCTTGACTAGACTTCTCCTGAGCGAAGAGGTGTGTATTTCTGAGGATCCGGAGCCTCCCGTCAGCCCCCGTTGCCTCTGAGTAGCTGCCAAAGCAGCAAGGCCGTTGTTCCTGCTGTTTTTCAACAGGCTCCACCTTCCACCTGCATCTCCTTGGCCCGTGGATGCCAAGAGCAGGTGTACAACTCTTGATCGTGGATTCCCTGTCTCTCCCCAGGAGACTGCAAATATCTTTCAAACTTTCTTCTCCCCTCCCCTCTCCACCCTTGGGCCACTGGCAGGTTTTTGTCCACTCTGGGCCAGACAGCTCAGTTCTCATCGTGTGTCTGTGTCTCCCTTCAGCGGTGGCTCCTTGGAGTGAGCGGAAGCTGTGGCCATCGGTTTAGGCAGGAAGGAGAGCTAGAGATGGCGCGATTTACGTGTGCCTACTGAGGTAAGGAGGTGCTTTGGATTTTCTAAGTCCGTGAGCCGAACCCGAGCTGCCAGGGACACAGTTGTCAGCTGCAGAACCCCCACAGGGAGCTCGGTGGCCAGAGAGAGCGGGACACTGCTGGAGGAGGGGATTGTGCCAGACAAGTCCTGAGAACACCCAGCAGACACTTGAGGCAAAGATCCTGGGAAAGAGAAGGGTGCAAATGCACAACCAAATGTATCGCTGCCGTTTGTGTTGTGAGGAGGGCTGGGGCTGTCGCCATGTTTTCCTGACGGCACGCAGCAGCTTGGAAATGCGGAGCAGTGGTTTGCTCTGGTAGGCTGGTCGGTAGCTGTAGGTCTTCTGTATTTGGGCGAGGGAACACTGTCAGAGCAGGGAGGTACTTTTTTTGTTGGTATGAAACTTAGCTTTTGTCAAGGTGCAAGTTTGAAATTTTTTGGCATTTCCTGTTTTGAATTTTCCAGGCAATGTATCAGAATATTAAATGTAAAGGCTGTAACGTTAACATCTTGTCATCATCCGCAGGGACAGCAGGGAGGGTCTGATGGCTGCCTGGCTATTCCTTATCTCACGTTACTCAGTAGAGAAATCCAGTCGAGCTCCTCTTTTTGTCTCCTGTGTTACCTAGAGGAGTGAAATGAAGCGGAGTTCTGCATAGTGAGTAAGGTGAAGAAAGGCAACAAGCTGTCTGGGCCTCATCTTACCCCTCTTGTCCCGCAGTTTGTCCCCTCTCTGGGTGTATTGCTCCCATCTCACTAGTTACTCTTCTAGCTGGCTGTGTGCATCGTGCATTGTTGGAGCTGCACGTGGTTTTTCACCTTTTTGATTCCTGACAGCAGGGCAGGGCACGTGGCTCTCGGGATCGTTGGGCTCATGGTTGTTTGTGCACACCGAACTCCCTTGCATTCCTCATTTTATCTCCCCTCCTCTCTCTCTTTTTCAGAATGTATCTTCCCGTTTCTTGTTCCCTTTTGATGTCAAATCTAAGACAGTTGCCGTTTCTATGCCTCAGCTTTCAAAAAAAAAAGAAAAGTAATTCCAAGTATCTGAATCCTTTTAGACTTCTATTGGGTATTGAGCTTTAAATCTTACTGACATGTAGTAAATATTTTGAACCTTTCAAGAGGTGCCTGCAGGAGGAAAGGCACCGGTTGGCAGGAGGGAAGGAGAGGGGGCGCGCATTGATGTTATTTCTGTCAGCGACAGGCATGTTGAGCTGCCCTGGAGATCCCCTTGTAGCAGGGACCGTCGGGGGCCCAGAGTTGTGCTGCTGCGAGTTGGCGTGCAGTGGCACGTGCTTCGTATAAACCAAGCCTTGAAACTTGTTGTGTTTCCTTTCAACCTACTCGTCCGCTCTGGGATTGGGTCTCTAGCGACGTGACGTCGTTACAAATCTAGCGAAGGCGTTTGCGCCTCGTGCTCCAAGTGGAAACACCCTGAAATTCAGAGTTTATCCTGCTGGGCATCCCCGAACGGGCACAACGCTAGTGGAGATCTTTTTTTCCGTGAATTCCGATACTTCAGCTCTTCGGCTGTAACGAGCACCATCCTTGGCGTAAGCATGTGAATGCTGGAGTAAGAGGAGCTCAGCGAGCGGTTGGTGTTGTGTGCTGAATTCAGCGCTTACTGATCTTAGGGGAGCAGCGTAAATCTTTCTCTGTGTCTGTCCTGTACCATGAGGGCACAGAATTAAGGATTGCTGGGAAGACCTTTATTTTGGCATTTCCTGACTGATTGACTTTTTGATTTTGCAGCTTTAATATGACTTACTTTATTTTATCTTTTGTAGAGGTCGAATGCACAGCCGTCGGAGGTTGATTGGGAAACAACCTCCTAAACATGGCAAAAGCTGTGTGCTCGCACTGTGAAGGTCTGAACTTGTGTTTTCTGAGATGTTTGTAGAAGGATGCAGTTTTATGGAGGAAATAAACTGCTGTGCTGGTTTTCACTGTTCCTTTTTTTTCTTTTATTTTTTCTTCCTTTTGATAATGCATCTGGCTACTTGGAAAGTTAGGAAGGAGCACGTTTCACTATTGAAAACTGCTTCAGGTTTTGCTTAGTTTTGCATAAGCCACATTTGGAATGTCACTGGGAGTTCAGGCTGGATTGAACTTGTGATAGCTGGGGAAAAAAATACCCTGATACCTTTATCTTTGTCCCTGAGTGTGCAAAAATAGTCCTGTGTGGTGCTTGGGAAGTACGCAGAGAGTTGTTCGTGTCCTTGCACCGGGAGAGGTTTGTGCTGAAATGTGACTGAGGGTGAGGTGGGGGAGGAATGGCTGGATTGATTTTTTGCTGTTTCGTACTACGTAGATTTGCTGCACGTACCATGTATCCAAATAGTATGCTTGAGACTATTAAAATGTTACGTATTTCTTCATATATTGACAGTATTAAACATGCTGTCCTTTTTAAAAAAAAACACAACAAACCAACCAACTCCCCCCAGAAAACTAGAACCAAACAAAACTGAACCAAAGCCCCCAAATCATTGATAAAAATAGAATTTCTTCCATGAATGCTTTTTATTGTAATTCCTGTTGGGCTTCTTTTTCTTTGCAGTACAACCTGTGCTAGTGCTTGTGTGCCGTGTCTGGCTTACAGCACTATTCCTGTGGCCTGCAGCTGGCACGTGGCCACCTCCCTGCAGGCCCTCTGGGCACTGGTTATCTGAGTTACTGCAAGGGCAAACGGCTTCTGTGACACCAGGGGTGCAGGGAGAGGAGTTACGTGTGCATTACCCTTTATTTACGTGCACAAAGTCCAACGCTTTCAAGACTCGGGCTAATTTCACAGGTGTGAGTGCAGCGTACCGTGTTTGTGCAGGTTGACTGTGCCACGGCAGAGAAGGCAGCGCAGTTTCCGGATGCTTATCTCAGGATGGGAGAGTATTATGGAGGTTAATGCCGTTTTCCCTGACCCTCTCAATTTTTATTTCGTAGACCACATCAATGGAGCACATTCAGGGAGCTTGGAAGACCATCAGTAATGGGTTTGGACTCAAGGATTCTGTCTTTGATGGCCCCAACTGTATCTCCCCAACCATCGTCCAGCAGTTTGGTTATCAACGCCGAGCGTCTGATGATGGCAAAATATCAGATACTTCCAAAACCAGCAACACTATTCGTGTTTTCTTGCCCAACAAGCAGCGCACGGTGGTGAGTCTGCGTTACTCTCCCGTAAGAAACGTCGTGCTGGTGGCGTGGCTGACGCTGGGATGTTCATCTGGCAGGAGAAATGCCGATCTTCGCAAGAGTCTTACTGTGATTGTTGTCACCTGTTTGTTACTTCTAGAGGACGTGTTTTGATAGCAGTCTCTCTGTGTTTTGAGAACCTGTATTTCTGTACCTCAGTGCTGTGTTTTTCCAAAGTGAGGCGCTTTGCCTGTGGGTTTAACGGGGAAAGATGGTGCTGGCTGACCTAAACAGCGATGCCCTTGGGAAGCAAAGCGAGTAGTTCTGTTTTGTCACCGTTTGCTTCACCTGGATGCCCACAGTGAGGTGTGGGAGTTAAAGCTGAAGTGAAACTTCTTGAGGGCACGCTTCTATTAGATTGCTTGGAGCTGAGCGGGCAAATAATAATCTTACGCAAAGTTCCCTGAAATGGAAATTAGGCTTTTTTCTAGACTTAAGGTAACTTCATTTCTGCTGCTACGTGTATGACTGCCGTGTAAAATCCTGTTTCACAGAACCTTAGTAATTGTAAGAAATAGGAAAGTTATAAAGTGACCTGCGAACCTGCTTTGCGCGGCAGTTATTTATCCAGCAGGAGGTTGACGTAACGTGCGGAGAGTTACGTCAGCAGACACAGCAGTCTGTTTTTACGCTGTACAAGTCGTTCTTATTAATCTATTAACTCCCAAAGTGAGCAGCTGTGCAATTTTACTGCAGCTTGTAAAGAAAAGGGTAAAAACCAAAAAGGTTCTCCTTTTTTTTTTTTTTTTACCTCCCAAAAGCTAAAACAAATTCTGCAATCACCGACTAAAATCTTTCTTCCTTTGGTCGCAGGTAAATGTGCGGAATGGGATGACCTTACACGACTGCCTTATGAAGGCGCTTAAAGTACGAGGTCTGCAGCCCGAGTGCTGTGCGGTTTTTCGGCTTCTTACTGAGCCCAAAGGGTAAGAGTCTGGAATGTGACATGTGAAACTTTCAACTGGAGGATGTAAAAATCTGGTTTTTAGAATAGCAGCACTAATGCTTTCTTCCCCTCTCTCTTGCTAGTTTCTTTCGAAAGCACAGTTTGGCTGCGAACGTTTCTGTGTTGCTTTCTTTACCTTCCTCAAGGGCGACTCCTTCAGCCTCCTGGGCATTAAACATTTGATTTTTGTCTTAAGGCTAAACAGTACAAAGGCTCAAAGTCAAGGGGTACTCTCGAGTGCCCGCGGCCTCTTGCAGAGGCTTTTCCATACTCTGGCAGAAATGTCGTGACTGCTCTTTTATTTGAGGTGCATTTCTCCTCTCTGTCGGTAGTTGTAGAGTTCGGGGCAAGTGATTCTCAGCCAAGTTAATCGAATGTCTCCTCTGTGTGCTCGGTTTTAAGACTCTGCCTTCCTCTACAGCTGCTCGATGTTTGGATTGAAATCTCACTTCAT